TATCCGGTTAAATTATTATCAATGGCTAGCATCAAGGATATGTAACATGACATCTTTAATTCAATGGGGTCCATTGTTCGGAAAAAAAGAAAAATACAATAATAAGATAAATAGATAGAATGATTTAATTCATATAGAAATTAGAAACAAAAATTTTTCTTAGTATAATCAATGATATGTAACAAGACATCTTGGGATGGGATGAGCTAGGTAGATTGATCATTTTTTAGTTTCATTCTTAATGCAAGACTTGTTATTATTGTTTATATTTGAATACAGTTATGAGACAGAGATGTCATCCGACTAAGTTTGAATTAAATTAATCTCTCTCTTAAATTAGCGGTTTCTCATTAATTTGTGCTTCATATCCGGTTAAATTATTATCAATGGCTAGCATCAAGGATATGTAACATGACATCTTTAATTCAATGGGGTCCATTGTTCGGCAAAAAAGAAAAATAGAATAATAAGATAAATAGATAGAATGATTTAATTCAGATAGAAATTAGAAACAAAAAATTTTCTTAGTATAATCAATGATATGTAACAAGACATCTTGGGATGGGATGAGCTAGGTAGATTGGTAATTATTTAGTTTCATTGTTAATGTAAGACTTGGTATTGTTGTTTGTATTTGGGGTACAACTATGAGACATAGATGTTCTAAGTTTGAATTAAATTAATCTCCCTCTTAAATCAGTGCTTTTCTCATTGATTTGTGTTTCATATTCGATTAAATTATTATCAATGACTAACATCTAGGGTATGTAACTAGACATCTTTAATTCAATTGGGGTCCATTGTTAAGCAAAAAAGAAAACCAGAATAATAAGATAAATAGATCGAATGATTTGATTCAAGTTGAAACATGCTTTTTTTAGTATAATCAATCAAATTACCCCTCCAGTAATGCCTTCAACCTCTAATCAGCAAAAAATACTAGTTATGAAAGTTTAGATTCTCATATAATCATCCATCTAACTATATCTAACGAGGGTTTCTCATACTCAAGTGATTAAGAGTATTTAGCTCATAGATAGGGAAGTTAAGCTAACAAGAATAAAATGATCATCATATACTCTTAAATCTCCACTCCCTAGTTTGATATGCTCCTTTGGCTTGGATTTGATGGAGAACTCTCCCACCCAAGCTCAAACTCTCTCTTGATCCCAAAAATGTGTGTTTCTCACCCTAATAGTCATATTTGTCAAAAACATGGTTTTTCAATTTGTACTGCAAACAAGACAATTCGCACGGCCTCGATCTCATGGTCGTGAGAATTTGAAATGAGGTCCTGATATACCAAACTATGACACTCTTGGTCTCCCTCGCCTGCTCCATGAATTCTCACGACTGAGAATTTTATGCCAGGCAGTAAGAAGGACTCGGGTGGCCTTATCTAAGCTCCAAGTGTCTCCATATATTCCAAAAAAAAATTCTAACAGCGTTCCTTTACATATTAGGACATGATATATGAGAAAGAAGCACAACATATCATGAAAATGCCAAAGAGAAGGAAGTTTATAAGGTGGATGACTCAAACATAAAGATTATGAATGTATCATATCTCCCCACATGTAAAGATTTTATTGTCTCCAAGCAAAGATATATTCTCAATTAGACAACTTCGTTCCCCTCATATTCAAAATGACTTGTGAGGAGTTTGTCATTAGCAACTTACGATACAAAAACTCTTTATTTGGTATGTTTAATCTCACTGGAAAGTTACAAGTGCATTGCACTCAAGTGAGGACATGCTAAACTCAAGGTGACCACTTGCTCTAGAACCTAGAAAGGTGGACCGACCGCTCTCATGATTTTCTATGTCTCTTCTCAACAACACTCAATGTTTAAGGGGTTGTAGCAAGAAAAAATCCGACCAAGTGGGGATTTCTATACATTGTCTTTTCTTCACCCACATATACTACAGGCCGTCTAGTGGCAATATATAGGGGTTTACCGACCTTTAGAAAATATCGAACCGTACCTTAGTTGGGCTACTATGCAAATCACCCTCAAGGCTCAAACATGACCTTCCAGTTAAGAAGGGTGGGTGCACAAGGTTTGACCTTTGGCCGACTTCGAATCGTACCTGAAAGTGTTACATTGTGCACAACACCCCTCGAGAAGGACCATGTGTACGTGTTACCCGAACTTCGACCAACTACGTAGCATGCCTGAGTTGGGGAACTTACGCATGGCCTTATCATTAACCATGTTAATAAGTAGCCTCACACGAAACTTGGCTACAACCCACTTTGAGTTTTTATAAGATGGTTGTCAGAAAGACATTAGAATTGAGCTACTTTCATCCTACAAAACCTACGAGTCCAAGTGGTACGCACAAATACAATCTACCTCATTAGTCCTCAATCACCCTTAAGTTGCTTTATCCGTGGTACAACGCTCTCTTCATCATCTTGAACACAAACAATCAAGAAGTAACGCTTCAAAGAAGGGGGATACCATTTAAGCAACGAGGGTGCTTGGAGCCCTCAAATTTGAAATTTTTTGAGCTTAATACAAGGCTCCTAACACTTACGGTAAAACCAAAATCATTTACAACCATCCATGATACACTAATTAGAAGTCGCCTACCAAAAAGTGATAAACTATGTATGATATTTGGTATGTTCCAAAGGTTATTACTAACCTTCTAGTCTTACCTACCACGATAATATATGTATCACCATGTTTTACCATGGTATATCGTGGCAATTTAATTAAAGTGGATATTATTTGTGGAGTATAATTAATATAATTTTTCTATGTAAGAAAATTTATATATGAATTTGAATAGAGTAATAATTATGCAAACCACAAGCCATGTTTCGTATAATTTCTTGTTTCTATTTTTTTCTTTCTTTCAAAGGCAAAAACAGAAACGGTAATATGTTTAGTTTTGTTTTCATCTATTGTTACCAAAAATTGTTTCTTGTGATATGTTAGTGGTTGTTGGAATAATTTCGTTCAAGTGAGTCTATGATCATATCTCATTAGACTAACTTTCTACATATTTTCCCTCTCCATTTTTGCAAAACTCATTCCTGAAATCTTATTCTCACTATTATTTTCATATATTTTTCTCCAATATTTCTTAACTCATCATGTCACACCATGCTTCCATTATTTTCCTATATTTGGTTAGTCACAACGGGGCCTAAAGAAGTAACTAAACATGTTTATGTTTTTGGTTGTCATCTTTCACGGGTCGTTTGCTTTATTGATTTAAAAATGAGGGGTTTGTGATTTAAAAACCTAAGGATTTATCAAGGATTTGAGGCATTATAGATTTGAAACAATTCTTTGTTTGCTGAGATGTTTTGATAATGGATTTAAGAGTTTGAGATTTAGAACTTAAAGGCAAAATTACCTTACTATCCTTTTCTTATTATTTGTCATATTTATGATATGTATACAAACAAGGACAATGCATTCTAAAAAGTATAGGGTGCGCCTATGGTGACATGTATGTCACGGTGACTTGCACTTTTCGGTCGACCTCAGTTAGGATCAGGTCGACCTCACTTAGGATCAGGTAGACCTCATTTAGGATCAGGTCGACCTAATCTGTTGTTTCAGTGTAAAAACAGTTTCATGGTGCCTACTTTGGAGATTCATATCATAAAATTGGCTAAATGGAAATTGAAGATTAATGGCTTGTTTTGAAGCTGGAGTGTCCCTCTACATATTGAAGTGATTGAGAGCTCGATAGGAAGTCCAAAAGACCATTTTTGAACCTGATCAAAAGGCTATGCCAAAACTAGGAAACTGCCTGAAAATTGCTCTGTCTGGAAACGTGTTTGTGAAGCCTACTTTGAAGCTCAATTCGAGAAGCATGAATGCGAGTCGAGTCCGGGGGCCTCTACCACGTTAAATTAGGTATGTTTTTATACAACTTCAAGGCATTGGATGAAAGATTGGATATCTGTAAGGCTTCAAACAAAAGGCTCGAAGTTGCTACAAAGGCTGTTTTTCTGGTAGACTTCGAGCACAAGGAAGTTGCCAAAAAACCAGCCTTTGTAGCAACTTTGAGCCTTTTGTTTGAAGCCTTAAAGATATCCAATCTTTTATCCAATGCCTTTCCTTTGTAGACAAACATACCTAATTTAACGTGGTAGAGGCCCCTGGACTCGAATCGCAACCATACTCCTCAAATTGAGCTCCAAAGTAGGCTTCACAAACACGTTCCCCGACTTGGTCATTTTCAGGCAGTTTCCTAGTTTTGGCATAGTTTTTTGATCAGGTTAAAAAATGGTCTTCTAGACTTTCTATCGAGCTCCCAAGTACTTTAATGTGTAGAGGGACACTTCAGATTCAAAACAAGCCATTAATCTTCAATTTTTATCTAGCCAATTGTAAGATATGAATCTCCAAAGTAGACACCATGAAACTGTTTTTACACTAAAACAACAGATTAGGTCGATCTAATCCTATATGAGGTCGACTGGAAAGTGCATGTCATAGCAAAGTCTAAAAGTATAATGTTGTCACAAGGACAATAATAATAAACAAGAAAATTTCGTTGAATTTTAACACAACATATATTAAAACAGGGAGAACAAAGAATCACATTCCATGAAAAGGTTAAAGGAAACTATAACCCAAGAAAGAACATGGAAAATCCAACTCATGTTTGCACATTAATTGAAATTATATTATTATTTTTGGGTTAATTGCACGGTTGGTCACTGAAATTACAAAAAACGTTCAAGTTTGGTCACTCAAAATATTTAAATCCATTGGTGGTCCTTCAGTTTACTCAAACCGTTCATGTTTGGTCACTCTCCGTCCAACTCCGTTAACTTTGGCTGATGTGGCAGTCAATTCTCAAAGTTGACCGTTAACTTAATGACGTGGCAATTAAAAATTAAAAAATTAAATTTTATATTTTCCACCTCATTATTACATTCATTAAAAAATAAAAAAAATAAAAAATCAAATATTCCCAATCCTTTCTTGTTCAGTTGTTCCCCTCACCCACGTAACGCAACTCATCATCAACGACCCGGATTTAACGTCCTCCGTGAGCCGCGACACACCGGATAACTTCTACCCAAAATCTCCACCGCCACGCTCATATGGACCGTCCCCCTCGCCTTCGCCCTCCCCGGCGGTGTTGCCGCCTCCCCCACCACCGTCTCCCCGTAGTAAATCGTCGCCTCACCGCCGCCGAACCTGAACGCCGCCGCATTCGGGTTCCTCACCTTGACGTCGGCGAGAACCGTGGCGGTCCCGTTGCGGAGGCGGTTGAGGGTCTGAGGCCCGGCGCTGGTGACCCTGGCGACGGCGACGTGTGGGACCTTGATTCGGAAGGCGGTGAAGAGGAGGATGAGGAAGAGCATGGCGGCCATGAGGATGATGGCGGCGGAGCAGCCGCAGAACCTGAGGAAGTTGCGGTGGGGGAGGATCTGCGAGGCTTCTTCATCGGGATCTGGGCCGGGATCTGAGGGTTTCTGGGTTAATCGACATGGTTTATGGGTCGAGAGATTCAGGCGGAAAGGGGAGGATTTGGGTCAGAAATCATAATCTGGAAATGGTGAAGAAAGAAGGGGATTGGGATTGGGTTTTTTCAGTTTCTTGTCGTGTGAGGACTGAGTAGAAGAGAGTAGAGGCGGAGAGGTAGTAAATTGGGGGAATGAATCAGGATTAGGGATTTGGGGAAGTTCGGGGAAAGATACTCGTATTCTTCTTCTACTACTTTGGAGTTCGTTCGTATTAATCGTGTACTGTTGATTGGGTCAAGAAAAGAAGCGAGGCAACCAGCCATGTCTGGTGACTCAAAGGAAGGATTGGGAATATTTGATTTTTTTTTATTTTTATTTTTTAATGAATGTAATAATGAGGTGGAAAATATAAAATTTTAATTTTTTAATTTTTAATAATTTTTTAGTTGCCACGTCACTAAGTTAACGGTCAACTTTGAGAGTTGACTGCCACATCAGCCAAAGTTAACGGAGTTGGACGGAGAGTGACCAAACATGAACGGTTTGAGTAAACTGAAGGACCACCAATGGATTTAAATATTTTGAGTGACCAAACTTGAACGGTTTTTGTAATTTCAGTGACCAACCGTGCAATTAACCCTATTATTTTTTGTTGTGAATTAATTGATTAATTATAATGTACAATAGCTAAAGGTGAGGGTAATCTTGGAATATTTAGGGGTTATTTGCTTGTTGGATTTGTTCATGGCTTTGGTACCCAAATCCCAAGCTTGATGGATTTTTATACAAGTCCATTGTTTGTTGATGCTAAATCCGTGGGGTCCACGGATTTGGTCTTGGAAATTTTGAAACCAAATCCGTGGACCCCAAGGAGTTGGAAATTTCACATATTGATTTGGGATTTGTATATCCTTGATGCTTATGTATATCCTTGATGCTTAGAAGATATATGAGTCAAATTTCATCATGGTTACAAATCCCACATCAATAATTAAGTTCACGAATGATATGTAAAATACGTGAGTACTACAAATTTGGTCCCTAAAAAATATACAAACAAACGATGGATTTCCCTTGAATCCATAATGAATTGACTTTGGGTACCAAATCAATTATCAAAATCCACGAAGCAATAACCGCTGTTAGGAAGAGTTGCTGAACTGGGATAATTAGCGGTTGAAAAAATAGATACTATCCCCTAATCATCTCCATCTGGTGACAAGACGCATTAAGGTTTCTTACGACTAAAACACCAACCATAGATCCATTGAATGAAACTCGATGATGTTTAATCCCGCTACGTGATACATTGTGACCTAAAAATGTCCAAACAACGTTCTACCATAAAAACTTGCAGTCCATTCTTGCTCCTTTCCTAAGCCTCACAACTAACGAGGAAAGACCAAAGCCTTTTCACTTACACAACGGCATTACACATCTCCAAAACTGGAATTTAAAACGGGTTTAAGAACTACTGCTCAAAAACCAGCCTACAACTCATCCTTCACCTCAGATGCCTCTGCTTCAACAGCATCACCTTTCGCGGCACCAGCAGCATCGTCCTCCTTCGCCTCACCTTCCTCCACCTCTTCCTCCTCTTCCACCACAGCATCTGGACTAATGCTCAAGCTCGTCTTCACCGAGCTGTAGATCCTCGACGCAAAATCCTTAGGATCGCTCAGCATGAACCCGCTCTCCATTAGTGCTGTCTGGTACATCAGCTGAGCAGTCGCCTTCACACCCTCATCCTGTCCGGAAAAAACAGGAAAACATCAGTATTTTATATCCCTCAAACAGACCTATGTTGCTTATTTCATATCTCACACATTACCTCAGGGTCCTTGGCAACTCTCTCACGAAGCTCTTTAACGATCGGGTGTCTAGGGTTGACCTCAAGCACCCTCTTCCCTCTCATGTACGCTTGCTTGTTGGCGTCCGACAGCGTCTGAGAGTGCATAATCCTCTCCATGTTCCCACTCCACCCGTACTTGTTCGTCACCACAACACAAGGAGTGTCAGCCAGACGGTTGCTGACCTTCACGTCGTCAACGTTCCAGCTCGCCAAGGCAGATTTCCACCACTTGGTCAGGTCCTTGAACGCTTCCTTCAATTCTTTGACCCCAGAATCGGCGATCTTCACTCCTTCCTTGGACACGTTCTGGAACTTCTTGTCCTCGTAGTCCATCAAGTACTGCATCAGGTACTCGTCGACAGGGTCGGTGAAGTAGATCACCTCGTAGCCCTTCTTGATCAGCCTCTCGAGGAACGGGGACTTCGCGAGCTGCTCTTTGTCTGATCCAGTTATGTAGAAGATGTCCTTTTGGCCAGACTTCATTCTCGAGATGTACTGGTCGAGTGAGGTGAGCTTCCCATCAGACTTCGTGCTGTGTAGGAGTTGGGTTTTGTAGTCAGTTACAGTTAAATGAGCAAAGAAAGTAACTTGTTGATGAAGTTAGGAGCGGTGAAGAGAGACTTACGTTTCGACTCGAAGAAGCTTGGCCAAGCGATTCCTGTTGGCAGCATCCTCGATAATGCCGAGCTTGATAGATTTGCCAAATTCATTCCAGAACCTTGCGTACTGACCTTTCTTCTCGTTTTCACCGGATTCCTCGATATCTGTATGGCATTAGGATTAGTGTTGCGCGTGTCAAGTCATTCAAGGATCAATGGAAAATTTAGCACGTATCTCGTATGTAGTTTATCAGTTTCTAACTCCTATGTTAAACTGCGCCCTCTTTATGTCCGAAATGATTATACATTTAACAATAGTTGTCTATACATGGCATGGCATGCGACTAATTCATGACATGTTTCACTAAGCCTATGTATGTCCTCACCCTAACAAGGTCAAAGATCATAGCACAAGGACGTGTTCGTTAAAACAATATGGTACAAGGACCAAAATGGTAATCATTGATGGTTTTCTAGCTAGCAGAAGTTGATGACAGTAATTACCTTTCTTGTCCTTGTCAGTTGACTCATCTGGATCTTCCTCATATAGTTTACGGATCATATCGAGAGCCTTGCGGATGAGTTTCTTCTTTATGGTTTTCAAGCTGCTATGTTGTTGAAGCATTTCTCGTGAAACATTGAGGGGCAAAGTGTCGGAATCAACCAGACCCTGCCGAAAGTATTAAGCCAAGCATCAGTACTTTCAAAGAGTCAACTTTGCAGAGCAGATGAAGATACTAAGAAATATCCTTTAAGTATCTACCTTCAGGAAGTTCAAGTACTTAGGCAGAAGTTCGTCGAATTCATCCGAGATGAAGACACGTCTGACATACAACTTCAGGTTGGACTTATTGTTGTTGTAATAGCTCTCGTAGAGATCATGAGGAGCCTTCGGGGGAACAAAGAGGACGGCTTTGAATTCAACGTCACCTTCTGCGGTGAAATGACTCCATGACATAGGCTTATCGTCACCGAAATCCTATAAAGTAAAAAAAAACCCCCAAAACGAAGTATGAGTGAACACAGTTGATAGGAGTCAAAATTTAGAAGGGTCTCTCTCCATTGATTGATTCATGTGAATTACCTTGGAGAGAGAGTGATAGAACTTTGTGTACTCTTCATCAGTGACATCTTTTGGACTCCTCAGCCAGATAGCTTTAACATCGTTCAAGAGTTCCCACTCCTGAGTGGTTTCCTTGACTGTCTTTGTCTTAGGCTTGTCTTCTGATTCTTCATCATCTCCCTTCTCGGTATCCTCTTCTTCAGCTATTAAACAGTACAACAAACATGAGATGAATGTAAACTAGGCCGTACACAATTACAAGTTAATCAATGACAGAAAGTTCAACGGATACATACGTTTGTCTTCTTCCTCAGTTGAGTCATCCTCGTCAGCAGGGACCTCCACATCAATCTCCTTAGTTGCCCACAGATTGATAGGGAAGTTGATAAACTCGGAGTATCTCTTCACAAGATCCTACAGTGATAAAATAAAATAAAAAACAGTAACATTCCAGTTAATAATATGTTACTCGAAATAGGAAAGTTAGTAAAGTATCCACTCCAGTAAGCTATGCTTACTTTCAGTTTGCTCTCTTCCAAGTATTCCCCGGCTTCCTCCCTGAGATGCAGTCTAATCTCAGTGCCACGGCCCAATGGTTCGTTCCATGTATCCTCAGAAATGGCAAAAGCTCCATCAGCCTTTGACTCCCACACATACCTGACACATTGGATCATTATATTAACCTTCTGGCGGAAACAAAATGTGGTGTTTGACAACTAATCAAGAAAATGTACTCACTGTTTATCATCATTATGTTTGCTAATGACTTCAACATAGTCAGCAACAAGGTACACAGAGTAGAAACCAACTCCGAATTGCCCAATGAGGTTCAAGTCCCCGCTAGTTTGCATTTTCTCCACAAATGCTACAGTGGCCAACAATTTACATCCAAAAATTATCAGACTCAAATAGGGTATGTGGGAGAAACCAAGTTCATAACATTTGGACAACCAAAGTTACCTGAAGTTCCAGACTTGGCTATAGTTCCCAAGTTCTTGATCAAATCCTCCTTCGTCATACCAATACCTTTATCACGAATAGCAAGAATCTTTTTGTCCTTGTCCAATTTGATCTATAATGTACCAAATAAATTCAGCATTCTATTCTCAAAATTATGTTCACATTGAAGTAGGCAGCTTAACTAAACACTAACCTGAATCTCAAGCTTGGCAGTATCTCCTTCACCCAAAACCTCTTTGTCCGTAAGAGATAGGAATCTAATCTTGTCCAACGCCTACAATTCAAGCCAGATTCCAATTCAAATCACAGAAGCTCAGTCTCTACAAATATACTACTATCTGGAAAAAAAAAAACATTCAAATGTACTTTGCTAAAAGTGCAAACTAGATAGGGAGCTCACATCGGAAGCGTTGGAGATCAACTCCCTGAGGAAGATGTCCTTGTTGCTATACAGAGAGTTGATGATAATATCCATAAGCCGAGAAACCTCAGCCTGGAACTCGAACTTCTCCGCACTACTGCGCAGCGTTTTCTTCATCGACTCCGA